TGTAAATTTTTCGTGCTAAAATTTCTGAAATATCATGTGATCCACATGTTGGATTAAAAAGAACCCCCATAAATATCCTATTACTATATCAAAAATGGCTAATTCGAAAAAGAATATCCCAATACATAAAATGATACTCTGAAGAAACCAATGAATGCATCGTTTACTCACTTCCTATGATATTACACTAATAAATGAATATTTACAATTTAAAAGTTTATAAGGATAATAAAATTCTTGATGAAAGAACAGATACAATAACGTGAAAAGTCAAAACAGTGATTGATAAAAGTTTAGAAAATTTAGAAAAAGAGATCATTATAGGAAATAAATAACAATTTATTAGAAAACGTAAAACATTGATAAACCACTTCAAGTTTGGTAGAATAACATGGCACCAGAACAAAGAAACGTAAATGAAAGCAAAGGAATTTATTTTTAACCCAAATAAACTTACAAAAGATTGAGCAAATACTGTGCTATGTTTCATTTTATTATTATTATTGATTTTTTTGACGTCTAAATGTTGTTGACCTTTCTTTGGATAATTCTTCTGCCCTCTGTGCTGATGATTGTTTTAAACTAGCTGTATATCATTTACTACTGTTGTTGATTTCGGGACATCTTCAACATCTATTTCACCTTTATCTACCAAAATTTGAAGTTGACTTTCCATTTCCTTTACTGTAATTTATTTACATTATCAGCCAAAAAATAACCTCAAGGTATGATTTTTATTCCTTTATTCTTATTTTATATTTTGGAACGCCTTTCAAGCCCATTCTTTCTTTAGTTCAGATGTTTCTTTATCAGCTATATTGAAATAATGATATACTTTTAAATATCAATGTTGTTTTATTATGTATACCCGTTAATTGAACACTATTAGATTTATAGTTTTTTGGTTGTTTATCCAACATTTATTTAAAAATAAATATGTTAAAAAAAATTAATTCTTTTTGGTACAAAACTACAATACCATTAGTAACAATTTCAAATGGAAAAAAAAAATTAAAAGAAAATTCCGTGGATATGAAAGACTTGCAATTGCGCGTTTTTGATAGGAATTTTTAATTAAATCTGACACCTGCAATCAACATCAGATTTATTATTTATAAGGAAACCATAGTTGATAATCAGAAAAAATAATTTATTTTGTGAATCCCAGAGAACTGGGTGGAACAATAGTCATCATATTAATTACTACGCTACTAA